GTCGAATTAGACCAGCCTTGTGTGATCAAAAGCAGTAAGTTGTCAACGTGCGGTTGCCGTGGTCCTATTCCCAACAACAATGGCCACAACCATAAATTTGATTGGCTTGACTGTGCCTTATTAGGCATATAAAAGGACTTCCTGTTATTTTATTCGTACTGACGAGATAATACGAGATGGCAATTTTCGTCTTAACATTTCGTGGTTCAAATTGTGATATGTTAACAGTTCTTCTGGGTCGCATACACAATAAAAGCAGAAACACGTACACGAATATATACGTGGGAAAATATTGGCACACCAATGAAATCGTCAGAACTAAGACCAAGGCAACGTTTTTGATAGATTCGTCGCAGTTAGACACAGACAGACAGCCACCACACATCCAGGAAAGCGCTAGACCATTTCGTGCTACTGGGACTCGTCCGTAGCACGCACCCGCCGAATCCTGCCGGATTGGAACCCACGACCTTACTCTTGCGAGTCAGCGACTTATGTCACTGAGGCATGGGCGATGGCAGCGGACCGTCATGACTAATATCTAACTGCGATATAGCGCGGCTCATCCTCCACTTGCATGTTATGATGTGCGGAGGACAGGGCTTGCCCCCAGAGCAAAGACTTCCTTTGCAAGCCGCCACCAATCGAGGTGGCAAGTATGCTGCCTAGGCAAAACCTGATTATTTGTAAGCAGTAGGGAGATTTGTTAAATTTTTGAGTAGATTCGTTGCAGTTAGAACAGTCTGTGTGGTCCCCAAGACTGCGTTCAAAGTGCTATTACGTAACCATGATCCGATAATCTTGGCAATCAGTGAAGCATTGCTAATTAGGGCCTATTAACCAGTGCTATGTGCACAGAAACTCTTGAGGCAATCAATCAGATTGCCTTGGACTTGATTTTGACGTTTTGATTGGTGTGGCAATTTTTCTCATGTATTTGTGTATGTGTTTCTGCTTGTAATGTGTATGTGACTGAGGAGAACAATAGAAATGTTGACATATCGCAATCGATGTCTTTCTTCTGCCTTGATCAAATCTCTGGTATAAATCATTTTTACCTGTACAATATTATCATCATCAGTGTCTTGCCTTCTGATTTTGTAACTTGTATCTATGTAAGCGGCACAAATAGCCCCACGAGGGGAGGGCGAGGCTGATCACCAAATCCGTCCGTTTGCACAAACTTGGTTTCAGGCGGTGAATCACCGTAGCTTCAGGGAATTAAAGTTGGCGGGGTCTACTTTGTATGTTGATTAGTTTAAAGCCACCACATGGGTTTTGCCACAAAAGGCAATCAAGTGTGTGGCGCGCAATAGAGCTAGTGGGTAGCTTGGGGTAATTTACAACCATGTTACGAGGAAGGTGTTCTGTAAGTCTTGCTGACATCATTCTCTCGGTACTTGCTACGCAAGTACATTTAAAGTGGCAGTAGATGCACGGAGCGGTAATTTGAAAGTCCGGTCTGTTCAGGTTGGATATGCGCAGCAGCCTTCTGATTTGGTGCAATGCGACTAGCTCAACCGCGTAATAGCAATGCTTAAAACATTGGCAAATATGGTACCGACATCTGTCTGTCATCTTGGTTCCCTTTACACGGCAGCGTAATAACTTACACTCTGAAACATCTGTTGACGACTTATCTTTGGGCTGTGAGTTCGCGTGCTATGCTATGAATTGCTCGAGGTAGCCATTCTCTATTGTAGTGTCGAGCTACTGCGTCCCAGTTCAACGACGATTGTGTTCGGAGAGCAAATTTGACGAGTCCTAGCTCGTCTGTAGTCCATGAGACAGAAACTATTAAAGTTTATGTATACTTCCGTCCATTTTGGTTTTCAGTACACAGGCCGATCGAGTGTACCAGATGGCTTCCTCTGTAAGTTAACACCTAAAAAATGGAAAGATCCGTCGGGTTCCTTTTCCATCGTGAACTTGATCGTAGGATGGTACATGTCCATCAATTCTAGTATGCCACCTGCTGTTGAGTTTCAACGACGACGAATGCGTCGACCATAAAAGTTTGCATTTCCTAGGTAAGAAAGTTGCTCGGTATTTTCCAGGCGGCCAGTAAAGACATCAGCCCAAAACTGGTCCCAATGGACTGCCCATGACCATCTCACGATACCGGGTTCCGTCGAATCGGGGTAACGACTTGAGTTGCAGCGATGGGAACCCAACTTTGTCAGCATGTCTGCTTATTACGTTCAACCACTTTTCCAAAGGGATATTCGTGAACAATGAGCACACATCGAAAGAGACGATATGTTTTCCCTCTACATTTAAATGACATATTTTTTTAAACCAAATTCAGACTTCACCCGTGCAGTTCCTTCCGGATGGGCTCTATGAGTTTCGCTAGCCATCGGGTCACTTTTCGGTATGGCGCGCCTACACCACTGAGACGATTGGATGTAAGATGTGTTGACCAAGTACCTAATTGACAAAATCGTGTGTGCCGTATAAAATACTACAACTTCCTTTGCACTCTACCACTAAAAACGTGTCCAACTGCCAAAAAGCAACTAATGAGCTACGCCACTGTAAAGTTGCAACGATTAAATGCCACTGGAACCCGAGAAGTATATGTGAAATCCTTCTACTGTTTCACTGAGTCGCCGACAAATTGAAGTCTTCTCACTGAATTCTAGTTTCTCAATTCCACCAAAAAGTGACAAAATGCGGACTGAAGCTTAGTTTGTGTAACTGTAAGAAAAACTGACCAGTTTAACATCGATCAGCGAGGACGCAGGCTGCAGCGGTGACGAAATGAAAACGTGGTCATATTAAGACCCAACTAAGGATCAGAAATTATAATGTTCAAAAAACAAGACAGTTCAGAAAATCCAAATAATTCTGGCAAACTCTAACCAATTCGTTCGTAATGTGGCAGGCCGCGACAAAACAGAGCGGATGGAAAAGCGAATAGTCCGTGAACCGAAGAGTCTAATGAAGGCGGGAGTGATAGATGCGAAAACGATGACACAGATTCGTCCTCGGGGATCTCAATTTCCCCATATGGATGGCCTACCAAAAGCCCAAAAGAGAGTATCTCTTTACGGCTATCGATCAGGATATCAAAGAATATTCCGCACAATATGGTCCCAAGCGGTTGGCTAGCTCCATTGCTTAGCACATCCTAAACTGCTCGACCTACATGCCAAAATTTCCTCTAATCGTTTAACATAATTAACCGACAGTGTAATGCTCGCCTGCTACAGCGGCTGAAACCCAATTTGTGCAGACAGACTGGGTTTATGACCAGGCGGCTCTCATTGCCCTAGTAAGGTTTTCTGATCGTTCCAAATTTAAATGGAATTACCTAGAACGTTGTTTCCTTTTACACGCAACACGATCATTTCGCGAACTGTATGTTAACAGCTGATGAGAATACCGGGAATATCTAAATTCGAAGTATCTAGTTGGAATGTTGATCCTTTTCGCCATCTTGGAACTCACAACCGTATGAGAAGCGCCTTTTCAACCTACCAGCTACCGATGTGTTACAAATGCTCTTGATCAAAACGCCCATCAAACGTTTAGCAGATTATTATAACACTCTGAGTGAGAATTGGACGCCTGTTATGATATCGCCTTTTAGAGTACAGAAGCGAGTGCCGCCGAACCAGGTGTATTGACACAGTTCACTGTGGGTTTAAACACACCAATACTATAAGGATTACAGTTTAATAAGCATTCGGTTATGTAAGATATTGGAGGGCCGATGGGTGAGTTTGAGTGGAACAGGCGACAAAAACGAATGTGTTCTGAAATACAATGATCGGAGTGTTCCGACACAAAACATGTCCGTTTACTGTAAAACAACACACTTGCTTTCTGATCACCTCGATATTCCGTTGTTGTAGACAGATGCGAAAAATACAGGCTATTCACCTGGTGCTCTGAGTTTCGTTTAGTCGGAATATATTCGGTGGATCCAGCTTCGTGGACAAAAGTAACGATTATTTGAGCAGAACAGATCAGGTTGAATAGTTCGTAATGAAGGAAGGAATATAGAGGCCATAGACTTGGCGGTTATCATATCCGGCAGTCTATCCAACTGTTAATTTCACCTATCCCGAGCACCCACACACTCAGGAAAACAAGCGCCTACCTGACTCAGGCGCTCAGCAAGTCTCTTTCCGCGGCACCAAAGTCATGAGCCGTATCCTAAAAAGATAGCCGAATGATCATCATCATCATCATCTTCATGGTAGCAACAATACGTAGCCTAAACTAAGTATGTCGTCCGAAGCCCAAACTTGAAACTACGAACCAATAAACTTACTTAACACATGGTCTGGGCAGAAGAATAGAAAGAATTATCCTGCAACCGTGATCCTATAAGGCAAATTAAATACAGCACATGACTTACGAATAAGTTTTGCAATCGTAATGCGAGGGTAAAAATTGTAAAGCCTACGCCAGCACGCGGGAATTTGTGCAGTGCCACAGAATAATGTGGATGACCTTGAAACGTCAAGGACATATCAGTGATCGAGAGTGAAAGGAAGAAATACTCAATATGGTAACCGATTGTAGCACACAGAGTAAAAGCAACGTAAAATGAGCAGAATAATTAGAGAATAGGGATACCGTGTCCTCAAGTAAGCAATCCAGGTTGGGGAACACATCAAAGTTCCTTTTGGACTTCACAAGCCGTATCCTTAAAATGATGGCCTGCAGATGGGTTTTTATTTCGCCGTACATGACAACTGGTTGGCCTGTAGGCGAAAAGATTACACGCCCACCTTATAATCTGGAGGTCACCGACTCGAATCCCCATAGGTGAGGGAGACGCTAAGATATACCCAGCCCTCGCACGACTGGATGTGGTCGCGTAGCAATGAACCGTCGATACGGTGTTCCGGCGTACTGCCGATGTCTTGTCAAGTCAATTGTCCTTCAGGTTATTGGGCATGCTTAAGATTTAGTGGGAAAGCAATACAACTTGTCCTACGATGATCCCGAGTTCCACTGCACCCGAACATTGGCGGAAGTCAAACCAAAGTAATAATGTGCATTTTGTTCTAACTGTTTACGTCCATGAACTAGGAGAATAATGGATCGAGTTGTGAGCGAAAATCATCGCAATATACAAGTTGGTCCAGGTCTGCTGTGTACATATGGTCAGCAACACCAAGCTAAAATCGTGTGGGTTATTCAGTCGGAAGGGGATGAAATTTGACGCGTTTCTTTGACCGGTTCTTCTTGATACGCAGCTCATCAAAAGCTTTCTTTTTGACCACGGTATTCTTGGCTTTTATCTTGTTGCGCTTAACTGGTTGTACATCTTCTCCAACCTCCTCTTCCTCCTTCTTCAGACCGTCGTCCGGCAATTGTCCAGCACGTTTCATACCTTCAAGACAAGCTTCCCGGTGAGCTTCTCGCGCAGCCTCATTGGCAGTGCGGCGGGCTTCATGTTCCGCGCGGCGAGCCGCTCTTATTGCTTCCCGTTGCCGAAGCCGTTCCGCTTGCTTTGCAATCTCCAGAGGAGTACGACGCTGCCAGCGATGGTATAGTACGGCTCCAGAATTCAAACCTTCCTCGATCTACCAAGAATAACAGTAAGGGTCCAGATTAGAATTACCGACGGTGACGATAATATAGTCGCATACTCAAAATGATTAAATCAACCTAGAATTTTAGCAAATAATAAGCAAGCAGAAACCCGCTTATACTTCTATTTGGTCTTCGTAGTTCCATGTGATGCATTGTAATATATACATATATATATATATACATATATATATATACTGCAACAGTCTATGAATAGACATAGAGCCATCAGAAACCATGGAAAACAAAAGAAGGTACAGAAATTGTAAAAGAAAACACAACACAACATATTAAAGTCCATGGTTTCGTCACAGGGCGAGATACTACCCGGTTGCCCAAGCCGAAGTAGGGTGTTGACTTAGGGGACACCACCCCGAGCATTTGGCTAGATAGCCTGCCCGCAAGGTAGCGGAGCGAATTCAGGGAATCGCGCCCATTGGGAGCCGGTGACTGATTGCTCAGTTCATACGCCTTTCGTTTGTTCCTTTGTTAAATAGGGGCCCAATGCTCCTTAGAATTACAGCACAAAGTTGCTGGAATACAATGCTTCGCCAGGATGAAGTAAGGAGCAGTGACTTTATTTAGTGGCGAGTCACGTCCACCACGTCGCAGTGTTGTTAAACGGACATATGTGACTTTTTATAGGGAGAACGCTTTCCAGGCGAAAACCTACCACCTCCTGGAACACTGCCGCCAAACCATTTGCTGGAACGGGAAAATCCCGAACCACCCAGCTGGCAACACGAGGAGGTTGTTCGGCAAGCAATGGAAAGAAGTTTTCGGTTATTTGACTCATACACTCTTATTTGGAGTGAAAGTTTCATTTTGAGTTAGCTCATTGCAATTAGATCCCGAGCTGCATAGGTAAGCCAACAATCCAGAAAAGCACCACACAATCGTTTCGTTCTATTGGGACTCTCCAGTGATGCGCATTCCCTCTGTCCCTTGCTGGAGATCGAACCAATGACCGTTACGGACTAGCACCATTAGCCAGCAACTTATGCCACTGAATCAGGAGGACGATAGCCGACCATCACGGATTGAAATATAAATGCGATACTGCCTGACCCATCATCTACCGCTATACAGGTTGCGACTCCTGCAGAGGACAGTGGTTGGCCTTCCGGATCAGGAATTTGCTTGCCAGTGCAGCGAATCCACGTAGTATTCTGAATACCGGTAGGGCTTAGTTTTTGATTACTAGTGAGTAGACGGATTTGGACATGATTCCAATCCATGATGGTTGGCTATCGTCCCTTATGGCTCAGTGAAATAAGCTGCCGGCTAGTGGCTCAAGCCACTAGCGGTCACGCGGTCGATCCCAATAAGACGAAACGACTGCCTGATGTTTTCCTGGATTGGTAGCTTACTTGTAGCTTGGAATCTAATCGCGATAAATCAAATCGAATCATACCTAAATCTGTGAGTGATCACTCACACTCACTGGCGCTTCGTACCGCGCCGTGCTGCTAAATAAACGCGCACTGACGATGTCACCTCGGGTGGTGACGAAACGTTTGCAGTCAAACTGCCGAGCTCAGCGAACACTCAGACCACCATAACTAAATCTGTCTGCTCATTAGTTTCACTTTGGTCATAAGCTGTCGGGAAATCTCCGTGAACACATCGTGGGGATACGGAAGGTCAGAGTGAACGTACCGCCGCATAACGCCCGGTAAGCTACAGGAGGCAAACGAATCGGAATGTGTGAAGAGTGCGGTGGTCATTGGATTACCGCGTGACCAGATGCTAGATTACTTACACGGTGTGCTAAGGTTTAAAATGAATTTGGGTACATCACCGCGATGCATTCCAATGATGAAACTACATTAAATCCAACTGAAACGCGCATATAGCATCGAACAACCCATTTCGCAACATTTCAGGTGCGTTGTAAACTGATAACATTACACAAACATGTCTCAGACATCGAGTAGTGAAGAGCAATGGGGAGCAGCTACAGAAACTTGAAACGTACAAGAGACATAAGACAAATTGCACACAAGACAATAATTAAATGGAAACCGTCGGAAAACCGAACCGCTCACTTTGATCAGTTTGAGCGTCAATCGGGGGCCTATTTCGGTCAGGCGAACGGTCGCTGTTCTAGCTGTGCCTAAGTGACGAAGGCCATGCGACGGGACAAATTTGCGCTTCTTCGTACTTCCATGAGTTTGATCAATAGAATCGGGTAGTCGGACATCTCGTGGAAGCTCCACTTCCTCCATATCCGAGAGGGCGTCGGACAAGCCGGAGTCGGACAGCATCCCGGTCCTAGGGGAAATGATAAACGTGAAATATAGCAATGCGTTTGCAACCCCAAATTGATTACGAGTGCTTTCGACGGTACAAGAACGCATCCTTCGTGACCACACAGTGAAGGTCGTTTGGATGCATCTGTTTTTGTAAGCATGCCTTGTGGAAACAGTTGTACATAGGTAATTTTATCCTCATGCTGCTCTTTTGTGAGGGTGCCAACCCCACGCAACACCATGTCAAATGTATGAATTAAGTTGGGTGGCTAAGGTGAAAGTGCGAGAGCTGAATGATATCTACTAAATATGAGCGGGGAATGATCGCTACATTTCTATAGAGGCTAAGGAGCTGTGTTGCTGTATTTGGACATCCACAATTCTGGATTCGTCTGTCACCATGACTGCGAACAGCCACATGACGTCTGTGCGTACAGAGAGACAAGATGGTGGGCTTTAGCGACCCATTCACAGCCCGTGCAAACTTTCAGTAGGCATGTATAGCCTTGCGGTACATATTGCGTCGACAGCCTCCGGTTGCCGCTATGACCGTAGAGTGGTGTAGAGCGGATGAACCCATTCAGACCGCCGCATGCATGATTATGCGTCGACGCAGGAGTAATACTGCTTCATCTTTGAGTGACCATCAATCCTATCTTTTCATGTTGACACTGGGAGAAGACCGTGTCCAAACATATGCAGTCACTTAGAGAGTTATGGTTAAACAAAGAGTTAACTATCTCTAATCCGGTTAAAGGTTCTGGTATAGTTCTAATGAATAAAACTGATTATGATAGCAAGATGCAACATATTCTTAGTGATGAACGTAAGTTTCAAAAGCTAAGAGTAGAAAAGGATAATACAGAGGAGTTAGTAAAACAACTGACCGATTTGCTCCGACGAATGATGAGAGCGAATGTTATCACAAAGTGCGAATTCGAAAAGCTGAGACCTTCAGGCAGACATCTACCACGGTTGTACGGCCTACCTAAAGTTCACAAGAAGGGCGCTCCAATGCGTCCCATACTGGATATGGTTAGCTCTCCGCAACATTTGATAGCTCAATGGATGGTTGAGAAGCTGGAACTGCTGTGTAAAATCGTCTGTACTTACTGTGTGAAAGACACTTTCGAGTTCATTGAGAAGGGGCGTGAACCCTAACAACAAATGGATGTCGTCATTTGATGCGCAGTCGTTGTTTACGAATATTCCGTTGTTGGAAACAGTAGAATATGTTTGCGAACTAGTACGGCAACTGAATGTACCTATAAATATCCCGGAAAACCTCCTGAAGGAATTGTTACTCTGATGCATCTTAAACGTGCAGCTTACCTTCAACGGGGAGATGTATCGCCAAATTGATGGAGTTGCCATGGACTCACCACTAGGACCCTACCTAGCAGATGTTTTTATGGCAAAACTGGAGCATTACATATTAAGAACGCACATCAACGAAGTCGAGATGTATATACGTTATGTAGACGACACATTTATACTCTTCAAATCGAAAGCGCAGACTGTGAAAGCATTGGAAGCTTTTAATGATGTGCATCAGAATCTACACTTCATATGTGAGCACGGATCCAGAAACTGACTACCGTTCCTGGAGGTTGATATCATCGGAAACGCCGACGGATCGTACAGCAGAGCGGTGTATAGAAAACCCACCTGGACTGGACAATACATCAACTCCTATAGTGCGGTACCCATACAGTACGAACGAAATCTAGTCCGCACTCTTGCGTTCCGGGCATATAGAATTTGCACACTGGACACAATCACCAAAAAAATTGCAGAGGATCGGCGACGCGCTAAGAGCGAATGGGTATTCAGATAAATGCATCCTCAAACATTTGAAAGAACGCAAGATAAAACCACCGAGGATGAATGTATCCAAGAAAGAACTAATTATGCATATTCCTTTCTAAGGCGACTGCGGCTGATGCCCTGTATAAACACCCGAAAGACGCTGTCGAAAAGACCTATTTCGCGGCTCGCCTATGCATAGTATTTTACAACAAGCCTTTATTCGCAAAATCTTTGAAAGACAGGCTGCCTCCGGTGACTCGATCAATGCTTGTTTATCTTTACTCGTGCTCCTGTGAGGCACGATACGTGGATCGTACCACGAGGCGCCTATCTCATAGGATTCGCGAACACCTCCCGAAGTGGTTTTACAATGGCGAAGCGAGGTCCAGCAACAGTTCTATCTTATCTCACCTACTAGAGTGCAGTCATGCAGGGACGGAAAATGCTTTTAGAGTCATCTATACTACTCGTGAAGGTTTCTCGCGCGGATTCCGGAAGCATCTCCTGTCTATTGAGGAAGCTATCTACATTCGCCACCTCAAACCAGAATTGTGCGTACAAAAACAGCTTGTACGTCCTTTGCTTCTACCGTGGCCTACAACTTCGGTTGTGACCGGGCAGCTGCAAGTGATACGGAACTTGTGAACTACAATCGAATTGTGGACGCTAGCAATTGGTGGCTTGTCCAGTCAGAAACCGATGCTAACGACTGCGCACACAAGAACTGGTGCAGACGTAATATCAATCAAGCATTTGTGCTACTACAAAGTTGGTTCACTTTTAAAAAAGTAGAAAAGTGCAGTGAGAAGATGAAGTTCAACAGATGAATATATTTCTTATGGCCTTGTCAGTGAGGTTACAAACGCACGTAGACAAACAGGAAGGGAAACGAATATACTGCTCCTGCAACGCAGCTCTCAGTTTAATCCTTCTATACGGTTGCGAAACCCGACCCAACAGATCGAGAGACATAAAGAGGTTTATTATGTTTGACCATTGCTGCCTTCGCAGCATAACTCATGTCTGCTGGGAACACCGCGTGGGCAATGGACGTGCACGGCAAATGAGCCGCTCAGCACGCTTATATCACGCACCAGGCCAGCACACCGACTCCCGCGATGGGCGTTTTATGCGCGCAATGGATGTGGGTGGAAGAAGAGAAGGAGAGGTCAGGCGAAGACTTGGTCAAGAGGAATGAAGTCCATCACTTCGAACTTGGCGTCAGCTGGTGTCTCCCGAGTGTCGGGCTGGGGTACTAAGGACGATGAACACGTCTGGTTGGATACAAATGTTGAGACAACCAAGAGTCAACCACAGTAACGTTTGTGTTCCTTCTTTTTCCGTCCCGCCCTCCTGTAGATTCACTACATATCCGAGTAGAGCAATTGATTTCCGAATGTACAAAATGTTTTAGTTTTAACAACAAAATAAGTATTACATTTTCTCGAAGTACTCTCCGCCAGCGTTCATGCACAGTTCCATGCGCTCAAACCATTTGGAAGAGCAGCCAAACCATGCTTAGGCAGGTAATTCTTCAAGCAGCTCAATAAAAGCATCTACTGAAGCTTCTGTAGACCCTGGGGAATACAAAAAGTCTCACGGCGCCAGAACTGGACTGTAGAGTGGATGACCAACCTCCTGGATGCGCAGTCTAGCTGGAAAATCTATGAAAACATGGGACCTGTGTGAAGATCCGTTGCCATGGTGCGGCAAGGTCTCTCGTGCTCGGGACTTTGAACGACGCCTGGCTACAGTTTCCAACTAATGTGGCAGACAGTGGGTGGCATACCAGTCTCCGGTGGCGGTGCGTTGCCGTACTAGCGCTACAGTGGCCACGAACACAGCCACCATCTGCTTGGCCACATCGTGCTCACGCCGGAATTTCTGATGCGGTGCTCCACCAACGGCCATCCACTGTGCCGTTTCCTGCTTGGTCTTTGGGTCGAAACTGTACACCCAGGTCTCATCACCACTGAGCATCTCCCAAACGGCATTGGAACGTCCGCCAACAAATCTGGCACCAATTCACCCGAGCTGCTTGATGGTCCTCACTGAGATGATGGGGTATCCAGTGTGTACAAACCTTTCTGAGGCCGAGGTTCCTATGTAACATAGTGCGGATTGATCCCGATGGCTTTCCCCAGCTGTACCACAGTCACCCGCGCGTTTCCCTCCAGCGTCAATTGCACATCAGCGGTTGTTCACGGTGCTGGCTGTTGCGTACCAGTAGAGTTCTGCTTCCTCGTTCGGGGCTTTGGTCGTGCTTGTTCAAGACCCTGCGTGCAGGGGACTAGTGTACGTGTAGATACAACACTGGCCTCCACAGATCGACTACACAGTGAATCATCATCCAAATACCACCTGCCACGGTTCCGCAAGCCAGTCAAACACGTGGTTCTTGAAGACCAAACGCAGCACGCAATCGCTCAACACTCTGATGCTGCTTTAAACCACATTTATATGTATAGAAAATCATAGCGCTCCGGTGACATCGACCGAGTTCCATGCATACAATCAAACGACCCTTATGACTTGTAATGTCTGTTGAGTTACTGTCATATGGTTCTATGAGTTGAAATCACTAAACAATATTCAAAAATGGATTAAAGTTCACATTTTTCTTGTCAGATCATCTACATCTAATCTGTGTATTCGGAAAATTATTGTTCTGCCCTCATACGATGCTTAGCATCAAAGTACGTATTGCTTACAGTTTTTGTAACTTTTAGGGACCTTGGCCGAGATGTGTTTCTCATCCTCAGCTACGGTGTATTGATGATGATGCCGATGAACTGAGTCATTGCTATTTGGTTGTACTGCAGTAAACAGCTCACTGTATGGAGTCTGTTTCATAACGCCTAGTACGGATTGTTCACGGGGCATCACTAGATATTGCTTGTTCGTTGTTTCCATATATATGTTTCGACCAGAAGCACAGTTCTAATGCCGCGCCACTAGCGCCTTGGGTCACGAAATTGGCAGGTTACCACTTTGTCCCTTCAACGTAAATGTTTATCTAGTTTCCTGGGCTTAGATTTCGGATATAGGTTCTTGATTCCTCACATGGTAGGACGGACATGGTGTAATAGTTCCTAAGCACGGATGATGGCGTATGCTGAATGGACGTCAATGCTGGTTGATTTTGAGCACCAACGTTTCTACATTTTAGCTCATCATTCATACATTATACACTTTAACTATAGGCGGAAAACA